TTAAAAAGGAGAACTATGGGGTCAGTGTTTTTCCCCATAGTTCTCCTTAGGGTAACGGGAGGACACAAACTAGCGTCCTCCCGTCACCCTAAGCTCAGTATACCGCGAACTACAGCTAGCGGTATACTGAGATGCCAGAGCGGAACCTGACATCGATGTCGAGATCCGCCCAGCTGCGTGAGTGACAGCTGGCTCTGCCTATCTAGAGGCAGAGCCAGCTGTACTCGCCCCATCCGTTCCGCCAGTCAGCGCTGGCGGATCGGAGCGGGGAGGGGGGAATCCAACCCCTCCCCTGTCACGGCAGAAAGCCGTGACAGGATCGAGAAGTGAGCGAACACCGGCATGTGTTCGCTCACCTCCCGATCTACTGAGCCGACCTGTGACAGTCTCATTGTTACAGGTCGGCTAGAACTATGAGGTGAGTGAAAAGCACTCACCTCATAGTTCTCCTTTAAGGGAAAAAAGGAAATGACTGCCGTTTGGCTACAGATCTTTTCCAGCTTGTTGGAAAATGTCTGCATGTGAAAGAAAATGAGCTCTACAAATTACTGGACAAGCACACACCTTGTAATCACAAATCAATCACCCATCTCTTTGACCAGATGCTTGGGCCTCAAAAGTGTACATGCTATGTGCTTAGCTGGCAGCCCTGAAAAACATTCCTTGCATCCATGGGGACTAAAATCTGTGAGCTGTAGAAATCCAACCTTGGATGATATACTATGCCCTAAGATCTCTGGTACCTCACACACAGAACTGGAACACAATTCTGCCAATTTCTGCAGGATTAGGCTATTCCAAGGCCAAATCAAGACTAACTGATAAAATGCATAATGACATTTAATGAGCCCTCGCAGAAATCACAGCTGCAGTGTTAAAAAATGCAGGCGGCATTCTGTGACACAATGTCCCTAATGTGTAAAGACAGCTGAATAAAGAAGCAGCAACACAATGACAGGGTCCATTCTTTGCTTCCCCCTCCTCTGAGCAAAGCTTTCACTTAGTCTGCACTGAGCAAAAGTTAGTCAGCGGGTTTGTGATGCTGGACCCTTCTCTCTGGGACTTCATCCTGGTGTGCATGGAAGACAATATACAAGACAGGTTTCTTATATTTTTCAAGTTGAACCCAAAAGATTTGCTGTCGATTTGGCAGAGGTAAATTTTAAGCTGCAACTTACCTCCATAGCTGTCATCAAGGGATCTGCTGCTGTATAAATGTGGTACCCTGAAGTTGGCTCCCAGTTCTAGCTTACCTCTGGACCCTGAGCACCAATCTGCTTCGTATTGACACATCCCTATTATGCACAGCGCACAGAGGTACTCATGGCCCAGACGTAAACTGGCATTAGAATCAAGCATCAATGAAAAGTATTTTTTACAGCAGCAGATACAGAGGTATGTATCAATTATACTTCTACACTGCTCCTGAAACTACACATTAAAATATCTTTACTCAGTTTGCTGTCCTTTAGTCATGTTTCAATGCATACATATGAATTGAATCATGCTTTAAAAGATAACTAAAGCCTTTTTTTTCAGCTTTAGTTCTGTGACCCAAACTCAGCATATAGCCGACTACAGCGTGCTATATGCTGACAGCACAGAGCGGTGCTGCAGCCAGGAAATATCCCCACAATATTGCTACATGATTGACAGCTGGGTCTGCCTCTCTAGCACCATAGCCAGCTGTGCCTGCCCCCTCCCCTGTCTGTCCCTCCAATGAGGGGAAGAAAGGGAGAGGAGGGGAATCCCTGACAGTCACAGCTTTATGCGTGAAGACCGTTAACAGAGCAATCATTGCTTTGAGATAGTTCTTGATCTATAGAGCCGGTGTGTGACACTGCAGCTCAAAGCATTGGGAAGAGTACATTTTACTCTACCAATAATTCTTCTTTAATGCATACACACGGACTAAAAAGATTTCTCTGTTACCCTGGATTATCTTTAAATCATCTGCCCTATAAAAATAGTTTTTGTTTTGTACATATAGTAAAGTTGCATCTACTTTACTTTAAAAAAAAAAGTGATTTAAAAGGAGAATGAACTGCCATACCTGTTGCTTCATTAGAAAGACCTGCTCATCTTCTGCTGCCACCTCCTTATCATGGACCAGCTGGTGAGAAAAGACACAGATTAGGTTAGGTAGACCTTTTCCATCCGCTGACAATTTCAATCTACAAATTCCCCTCTAGGGACTCCTGCATTAATTCAAGTCAATGATAAGCGCTTCGATTGTGCCAGACAAACAGCAATGTTTGAAAGAAGATGATCTAGTATGACAGGACTGCAACCATGAAAAGAGTTAGTACAACTCTTAGGCTAGGTTCACCCCTAGGCGATTGAGGTAGTGAGCTGTTTTCGTTTGTGCGACTGCGCTTGAAAATCCGTGCAGTTTTCAATGCATAGAGATGTCCGAGTCTCAAACCGCACAACAACCACCCGAAAATAGCTCCTGCACCTTTTTGGGGGACAAGTGATTTCGTCCGCGTGACAAACTGCAAAGGTGTGAACAGCCTCCATTGTGTTTTGCGTGATAAATCGCCTAGGTGTGAACCTAGCCTAAGTCATAAAGATATCCACCACATCATTTACATAAAGTAATGACATACCTTTCTAACAGGCGGCTTTACAATAAAGTCTTCGAAGGCATCTTCTGGTTTGATGCTTGCAAAATTTTCATGCAAAATTCCGATTTTCTTCTCATTGTCCCAACCAGCAGGACTAAAGAAAACATCACAACAGAAAAACGTTAAGAGCACATAGAAGCCAATAAAAACAAACTTTCACTTCCATAGAGCAGCTGATAGAACTGCTGCCCTCCTGAACTTGGGACTGGCTGTCGCAAACATGTAATAGTCTACCAAACTCAAACCAGTAAGGAATATGGAATTTTTGGCATGATACCACAAATGGTGCTCAAGCCCACAACCATACTGCTCTCCCAGGTAATCCCCAGGCCTAGGTAGCGAGAGCATACGCTTGCTTTGAACTAGGGATGCACAAATACCAGTATTTCGGAATAGAGTACAAGTTCCGATTTTTTTTTTTCCGCTACTCGCCGATACCGAATACCCGAAGTCCCATTCAGGAAGTGTAATGACTCGCCACCTGGTTTCCTGATTAGCCGGGAAGCCAGGCGGCGTGTAAAGACTCGCCACAAGGCTTCCCAATTAGCAGGGAAGCAGTCCCCATGCTTCTCGTCACTATGTGACGAGAAAGCATGAAGCCGACTTTCTGGCCAATTAGGAAGCTGGATGCAGTGTAATGACGCAACGCCCGGCTTCCTGATTTGCCGGGAAGCCGGCTCCATGCTCCCTCGTATTTTTTCACTTTATATATATATATAAAGTTTGAATTGGATAAATAAAATAAAGGAACAAAAATGGTGAAGGCATAGGAGTAACAAAATAAAATAAAACTCACATAAACACGGCATCCTTTTCCACCACCAAGGCAGGATTATTAAAGTGAAATCCATACAGTTTATGGACAATGTACTTGTACAATAAATCCAGGTTCTTCTCTTCCTTGACAGAAGTATATATTAAGGCAGAGCCATCTGTCAGATGTATTAAGGACAAGTACACAACAGTGAGCATGGCATGTGCTGTATGGAGTGCTGCAGCACAGGTCTGTTGGCGCCTAGAATACACATTGAAAAATCAGAAGTTCTTGCTCCACTCCTTACCGGAGTCAAAGAGAACCCGAATAGACGGGTAGGTGCTTGTAGTGGCCAGGGGTGGCGCAGTGCAAAGAGGAGATAGAAAATAACGTCACCAGCACTCCAAGGCATAATAAAGCAATAGTCCATTTATTGGCACATTGCCATTCAAATGCAAGCGCTTTCGGGGCCTCAGAGGGTCCCCTTCATCAAGCCATTCTGAGCCTGATGAAGGGGACCCTCTGAGGCCCCGAAAGCCCTTGCATTTGAATGGCAATGTGCCAATAAATGGACTATTGCTTTATTATCCCTTGGAGTGCTGGTGACGTTATTTTCTATCTCATACAATACACATTGGAGTGCCATAGTAAATTAATGGCACCACAATGCACTGCACAAAGTACTATGAGTGGAATTTATGAAAACTGGAGCAGACTAAATATGGAGCAGCTGTGCATGGCAACCAATCAGCTTCTCTCTTCAGTTTATTCAGTTAAGATTTGAAAATGAAAGAGAAGCTGATTGGGTGCCATGCACAGCTGCTCCAGGTTGGGTCTGTTCCAGTTTTGATGAATTCCCTTCTATGACTTTCCACAACACATGGGCATAATGGGGACTTTATTGTCTATGGGCTCTTATCCCCATTATTCGATCCGGACTATGCCACATGCAGCCAAACGTCCAGCAGTTTAAAAAACAGTGATCCAGATTATAGGCAACTTTCTCTTCCTGGTTCTTTAGCAACCCCCCTGATGATGCGGCACCAGAGCATGCGCAAGTGCAGACAGAGATCTCTCGCCTAATCTATTTATATATTATATATTTAATCATCTCCTGTTAAAAGGGGACACACACACACACTCATGTGGGATGGCGGTTAGACTCCGTTCCTGTGGCAGAAATACCAGGTGTCCCATTCAGATGCATCCACTGTACCAATTGAAGTAAATGACAGGGTGACAGTGGCCACATCTGCCAGCAGCAGTCTGCATATAATCGTACATAGTAAAAATGACATGCGGTTTAGGATAGATGGTTGTCACTGGACTAGGGCTGCAACAACTAATCGATTTTGAAAATAATCGTTAGCTGCAGCTCTACACTGGACTCATCTGTCACTTGTCCAACACAAGTCATTTATCCCAAACCACATGTAATCATACCATGTACGATTACACACAGACTGCCCCTGACAGATGCCGCCGCTGTCACCCTGTCATTTACTTCAATGGGTACAGCGGGCGCACCTAAATATATATCTGGGATCCTGCCGCAGGAATCTAAGTGCCGTGTAGATCCAGTGTGAATGGGGCCTTACAATGCCAAAAACATTAACAGGGCTATTCACAAAGTGGTGAAGAGTTTGGAGAAGGCCGGAAAAGTGAACAACATAGGACAACATAGCTGAACTGGAAATTTTTTCCAAATCAGCTATTTTGTCCTAGATTGTTCACTTCTCCTGCCTTCTCCACACTCTTCACCCTTTTGTGGATAACCCTGTGAGTTTAGGGTGAAGGTGCGCTTTAAAGGAGGTTATTCAAAATTGCTGGATGACTCATTTCATGTTCAGTGTATTCTGAACCTCTGTAACCAGTACAAATCAATTTGAAAATAGAGTCTTACAGTACTGATCCGGCAAAGTACAAAATTCCAGTAGGGGGTTGATGGAGCCGTTTCTATCTCAGATAGGGGCAAACAATCCAATTACAAAGCAGCGGATCAGTCCCACATTCTGCTTCATGCTCCAACTAGAGAAGTTTCTATTAGTGGATGCAGTACACCTCCTGTGGCTATCTGTTCCTTCCATTCTCCACTTGCCGTCAGAAAAGAAGCCGAGAAAGGATACACTGCAGGCAGAACCTCCGGATGTAAGACTGGATGAAGTCAAAGTGTTCGTCTCTGTAGTCATGTTCCTTTTCCAGCACGCTGACAGCGTCACACTGAGACATGACAAGACAAAGTGACAGTCACCACCTGTTCTAACATCCTATAATGAGATTCTTCTGGGATGAGATTCATGGACTGATTACCACAGACAGCACAGCACTACAAACTGCAATTCAATTAGAACACAAGCAGAGTACATCTCTGCCAACAAGCCCACTATTCATTCCATTACCTCATCAACATTTCTTATATTTTATATAAAGTGGAGAGTAGTGAAGAGTTTTATTTTTCCCAATAGAGGATATCGAAGCCCAAGAACAAAAATCTAATACATTGCAAGTTACCAGTCCTTAGATGTGGTGGCTGCATTAGTTTCCTTTTTTTTAAGCCAAGAACATTTTTAGCACATAAAGAAAATATCTGTTACACTTTGCCAGAAATGCCATGTCCTGGTCACTTCCTGTGAGCTGAACTGAAGTTAAACCGCAACCAATCCTATCTTCCTTCCGTAAACTACTAATCTCCCTAACACCCATGTAATGGAGCAGAGTGGAAGACACATTTGAAGTCCAGCATGAGTGACAACCATGGTTCCCTCTAGATACAGAAGAGGAGCGAGTGTTGTGACCCTAGGGCAGGAAGATACAGTGGAGGAGCGAGTGTTGTGACCCTAGGACAGGAAGATACAGTGGAGGAGCGAGTGTTGTGACCCTAGGGCAGGAAGATACAGTGGAGGAGCGAGTGTTGTGACCCTAGGGCAGGAAGATACAGTGGAGGAGCGAGTGTTGTGACCCTAGGGCAGGAAGATACAGTGGAGGAGCGAGTGTTGTGACCCTAGGGCAGGAAGATACAGTGGAGGAGCGAGTGTTGTGACCCTAGGGCAGGAAGATACAGTGGAGGAGCGAGTGTTGTGACCCTAGGGCAGGAAGATACAGTGGAGGAGCGAGTGTTGTGACCCTAGGGCAGGAAGATACAGTGGAGGAGCGAGTGTTGTGGCCCTAGGGCAGGAAGATACAGTGGAGGAGCGAGTGTTGTGACCCTAGGGCAGGAAAATACAGTGGAGGAGCGAGTGTTGTGACCCTAGGGCAGGAAGATACAGTGGAGGAGCGAGTGTTGTGACCCTAGGGCAGGAAGTGTGTTATTTTCAGGATCAGGTGAAAATAGAGAAAAGAAATCCTGGGGAAAAATGAATACAGCCACCAAATCTAAAGACTGGTAAGCTACAATACATTAAAAAGCCTGCATTGGCTAAACTATAAACCATATTTTAAGCCCCTAAGGGGCACTTCCCACGAAACACATTGGTTGTGCTTTATTAAACATTTTATATCAATATCAACCTACCTGACTATTTTTACCTGGTTCTTCCAACTATAAACGCAAAAATAGATTATCTGTTGAACAGATTTTACTAAACGCAATCAGAGACACAATTAGATCACTTGTCGCTGTGTCATTATTGTAGATAAAACTCCTTTAAGGAGAATCAACTTTTCGTATTTACATAAGTTCAATCTTACCATATGACTCCAGTGATAGCCCTCACCTACCAGATCTCCCTACTGACACGCGTCACAGTGACAGAAAGTGAGGAGAAAATAACTTTGATAAAGACCTGACTGAAGTTCTAACTCATCTCCAATTTAGCCAAAAAAAAATATTTTTTTTGCTAGAATTCCAAGAGAGATCTAAACCCCAGTGCTTGTGCCCAACAACAGACCACATTCTTTGTTGAAATTCCATTTTAATTACAAATATAAATTTTCAATAGCATATAGTTAGGGGTTTGTTGGTGGTCCACTCAGCAAATATTCTCTAAAGAGAAAAAAAAAAAAAAAAGGTTTCATTAGATGTGGCCCACCATTCAACTAGAAACGTGGCCCACCATTCAACTAGAAACGTGGCCCTTATAAGTTAGACACCTCTGGTTAAGATACACATTAAAGAATGCTTTCCCAAAGCTGCATTTGACTTGCCTGTGCAAACAAGACCTTAGTGACTACAGGTCCTGCCCTGCTGCTTCAGGAAAGAACTGACCTTTGTGCAAACAACAAGCACAGGAATGCCAAGGTTGTGGGTTAGAACATTGTCCCCGAGAGGAAGGATAAAATTCTCGTCCTCCAGGCCTGAAGTTGTAGGCACTCTTCTCTGCGGAGAACCGGATGAGTCTTCAGGCTCTAAATATTCCTGGAAGTCTTTCACGACTGCAAAGAGAAATCAGCAAGCAATGAATGACCAGTTTTAGAGGCAAGTTTCACATCTACTTGGACAAGAAGCAGGTGATAATAATTAAAAGAAAATGAAGGTTTTCGACTTATCTCCCAAAGCTGATCAGAGCTGTTATTGGTTGACACAGGCAAAACGAACATGGCCAGTTGGCTTCATATTTACATTGTAATGTATGCGGTTAAAAGTATTAAATATATAAAAAGGTCCCTCAACACCCTCTTTGGAAAGCTGGAAGAATCTTGTTAATTCCAACCTTCCATTTTATAAAATCACATAGGAGTGAGGTGAGAACCACTGCTCTCTGCTAAAATATGGTGTCTATGGGGACCTCTACCTAGACAATATCGCCCCGGTATTATCCTCCTCCTTGTGAATGCTTATATTTGCTTCTGACTGTATAATACTTACCTTTGATGTAAGATGTCTCTACCCGTGATTCATAGTATGGCTGTCAGTTGTAAAACTACAGTACAATGTTTTTTCCATTGTGTACCATTGAGAGAGTCTGTGTCTTAGGACCCTTTCACACAGGCAGTCCGATTAGGTCCACCTATCAGTATTTCAGGTGGACACGATCGGATGCCCAATCCTAGTCTATGGTAGCAGAGTCTACATGAATGGGCGTCTGTTAACACCCAGTTACCCCCAACTCTGGCCAGGTCTGGAAAAACAAACTGAACAGAGTGGACCTAGATCTGATCATGCCAGATCGGGGGTAATCTGATGTTAACTGACACCAATCCCTTTACATCCAACATCTGCATCCTTGAAGTGCAAAATAACACACGGAGAGGCTCATTTCCAAACCTTGAAGGCAAAGTGTTAATGATTACCTGCAGAAACCAATCTGAGCCCTTCATGTGAAAGAATCAATCTGACTGGTTTTAGGGGCAGTTGCTCCCGTTTCTGTACTCTAGTTTTTGTAAATCAGGCCGAGTGTTTGTGCAATTAGCATACTCATACAATGAGAACATTCACAGACGTCCTGTATACAGAAATCTTTCCCAGTGGACCACCACACTGTCTGCCAGCATTATAAGAAAGTGACAATGTGAGGAGACAGCGAGTATGTGTCTTCTTACACATGTCTGATTACAGTCTCAAACCACAAAAAAATGCAAGCTGTTAGGCTAGGTTCACACCTAGGCGATTTAAATCACACGGATTGAGTCACGCGATATCGCGCAAAACACAGATTCACATTGAAGTCAATGGAGGCTGTTCACACCTTTGCGGTTTGTCTTGCGGACAAAAATCGCCTGTTGCGCAAAAAGGAGCAGGAGCTATTTTCAGCCAGTTGTTGCGGGGTTTGGGTCCCATAGACATTTCAACAACCGCGCGGTTTTCAAAGCACAGTCGCGCAAACGAAAAAATGCGACAAACGTGCAAAAACAGCTCACCAGCTCAATCGCCTAGGTGTGAACCTAGCCTTATATGACCAAGGTACGCTGTAGAGAGCCCAGGCTGGTATTTCTGTATTAGGGCACATTTACCTGACAAAAAAAATTAAGCTGTTCAATACTTGGCTTATTGCCCTATAGAACTAGTTCCGGAGAAGGAATAACAACAACAATAATACTGACCTAGATGACGCAAGTAAGAACCAGCCACAGATCAACAACAAAGAAGCCTTGCTCACACAAGGCTTGGAGAACAAATTGCCTGGGAGCTAAGTGGCGTAAAAAATTTGGATTTGAACTGTTTGGGATATATTGAGTGCTTGATTTTTTGAATACATGTTGTCTCCCTTCCTTTTTAGACCCTTTTTTAGTATTTAAAAACTCTTTTCCTTTTCTGTCAGTTTTTTTTAAACTGTTCCCTTTTTTTTTTTTCCCCCTCAGGTTGCAGTGCTCTTGTTAGGGGGAGGGGTTAATTGAGCTCAGGTGTCTCTCATTGAGCAGGTGTATTATAAACTAGTGCATCACTCATTTTGAGCTTGCTCACACAGGGCTTGGAGAACAAAGTGCCTGGGAGCTAAGTGGCGTTAAAAAATTGGCGTTTAACCAATTGAAGTTTAACCAGGGCGGTGGTATAAATTAAATTTAGTTTAACAAACAAGTTATTGACCGTACCACTTGTGAACCATAATTTAACCCAGGTTGGTAGTATAATTCAGTATAATTTATTTATCTTAATCTAATTTAA